CTCTATAAAAGATTGGGAGAACTTTGACTAGATATGTTTTTCAAACTTAACCCAAAAGTCATTTAAACACAACACTGAACGTTTTTTAAATATTTCCTCGTTTCGTCCTCAAAACTGAAAAAGAGAAATTGGAAAAGGTATGTCGGTCTATGAGATATCATCATCAGCAAATCAAGGAAGTGTGGGATGAACAATGTCTGCTCTATTGCAACCATTTTTGAAGATTTCCTTCAAGAAAATTCATCTTGCATCGGAGCTTCGTCGATGGCCTAAAAATATATATAAAATTTTTCCATTTTTCCATGTCTGAAGGAAGGGGGCTTTTAACCCTTTACTGAGATTTTTTATATAATTTATGCTGACATTTTATTGTGCCTTAACTTACGAGTCTCAGCAGGTAGTAATAAAAGCAAATGTTGTTATTGTTAAATTCCTCAGGGCACAATATTGAAGATTAGTTGCACATATATATTTAACTTTTTTTCTTATTTTTTTCCTTTTATAATCTAAGCTTAGTTTCAAAAAAAAAAAAAAAAAATAAAAAAAATAGTTAAGACATGCCATTAAATGTAGTATCGAGCAATTGATTGAGAAGCCACAATTGGGACACACCAGCCCAATCGTACATACCTTTACACAATATAATATACACAATAGCATATAAACAAGTTTATTTAAACAAACAACACATCGTGAACAAACCGATTCCAAACAGTAACATGAGATGCCCATAAAAAGCCACACAGAATAATGCAGACAATTGCATATTGCACCTTAGAGTAAGTAATAGTAGTAATAGTAGTAGTGGTAGTAGTGGTAGTAGTAGTAGTACTAGTGATAGTAGTAGTGGTACTTGTAGTAATAATAATAATAATAATAATAGTAGTGGGTGACAAAGGGTGGGTGAGGAGTCGGGCGTGAGGGGGTGGGGCAGCAGGTGGTGCGGCGGAGAAGTGAAAGAAGATTAACTGATAAACAAACGAGAAAAAAAGCCTCGAAAACGTAAACAACATCAAATAAATCGCCATTAATAGTAATAGAGTAAAATTCAGTGAGTCTCTCTTTTACTTTTTCATTTGTTTTGTTTTGTTTCTTGTTTTATGTTTTTTTGGTAACAACCAATATTGACCACAATCCAAATCCAAATTCAAAGTAAGCAAAGACCATATGAAACAGCCTTAACAACAATTGAAGGCTTACCAGAATTTTAGTTTAGTCAACTAAACGAAAACTCAAAGGCAGGTTATTGCTATTGCTGCTATTGTTGCTGTTATTGTTGTTGTTGTTATTGTTCTATAAAAAACCAAACACCTAAAATATATGTGACTGGCTATAAGCAACTATATCCGTGTAAGCGAATATATCTGTGTATGTGTAAGCGTCATTCAAGAAAGGTCTTTACGTTTTAGCCTGTGGTGGTGGTAAGCAATATTGCGGTACTTTTAGTAAAGAGAGTTTACAACAATATAAGCAGGGACGTTAGTTTTTGTTCGTGTTGTCTTTAGCAGCATTCGATCCGATTCGTTCTGCACCATTCATTCTTTGATTTGCTGGTAAATTTGTTGTTGTTGTTGTTGTTGTTGTTGCTGGTTGATTGTGTTGCTGCTGCTGCTGCTGCTGCTGTTGTTGTTATTGTTATTGTTTTGTTGTAAGATTGAGAGATTGTTAACATATGAACTCACGTTTTGGCCTAATAAGGTGGATGCAGGTAAAGTGAAGAATAAACATACACACACACACACACAAACACATACACATACAATTAAATAAGAGACTACTCACACACACACACACACACACACAGATTGACCACATAATCTGCAAAATGTGCTAAAATACGCTATGGCGAAAAAGCATAGATTAAGAAACGACGAGAATGCCCAATAAACACAAAAAGCCATTGAGGGGAAAAATGAGATGCCAAGAAGAATGGTCTTATAGCGCGCATTTTATTTTTGGTATACATTGTCTCTATTAATAATAAGTAACCAAATGAATCTTTATACTTTTACATACACAACTCGGTGCTGGCTGGCACCTGTATTTGTGAATTGTGGTAACAGGTACAAATTCTAATATTACGGTTTTTTATTCGTTCGGTTTGCCTTACTAAAGTATACTTAAAATTTTATTGAACACATTTCTAGATTCCGCTGCATATATCCTATGCATAGATTGTTATGTTAGAGAATCGATAAATAAAGAATCGGATCTTGGATACCCTATATATTAAATTATGTATTAAAAGGTCATCACTGTTTTGATTTTTACTTGAAAGCACAGTGGATTGAAAAGCAATTTTTTTTTTTTTTGGTTCCAAGTTGCAGGTTCCAATTAGCGATCGTACATATGTGCAAAGTATTTTAGGGTTTTCTCTACTTTGCGTGCACACTATCTTACCTGATTTTTGAAACTGAAACAACTTTTAACTTTCCATCTCACTTAGTAAGACTTTAAGAGAGCAAAAGATCGGGCAGACGGGCAAAGAACTCTTTGGGACGACGAACTGATTCATGAATGCAAAGGTTTTCTTACGAAATAGTCGCCAGCGCTATGCTCGATAATGGTGTACGGGGGGTGATATTGCCAGCATTAGGATCGTGTAATCAAATGTTTTTGAATTCAATATCCGTAGCTAATGGTGGTATGGTGGTACTCCTCAACTCATTGCACTCCGTATTTGAAAGGCTCTACCTCGGCCCATGTTTTGATTAAAAACTCACTAGTGTACCATCAGCTTAAGGTTGAGAACCTGATTTCAAGTGCTTTTTGTTACACCTTGGAAACAAGATGATGAAATTAGTATATCTCATTGGTTTGGTGCCGCATATAAAAACTTATTTCGAGTTATGTAATCCTTGACTATTGGTTTGTTTCTAACCATGATATCTTTCTTCTTTTTCAATACAATATATATATACTTTTTAGCTAATTTACTTTTATTGCTGCCTTTTTGACTTTTTTTCCTTTTTTTTTTTTCTTCTTCTTCTTTTTTTCTTGGTTAGAGGGAAGGATTGGCTTATTTATATGTATACACGTATAGATATATATATATATATATATATATATATATATATATATAT